TCCACTCTTAGGCATATACCCAAAAGATGCACATTCATATAACAAGGACATCTATTTCACGATGTTCATAACAGCATTATTTGTAATAGCCAGATCCTGGAAGCAACCTAGAAGCCCCACAACTGAATAGTAGATAGAGAAAATGTGGTATATTTACGCAATGGAGTACTACTCAGCAGGAAAAAAACCAATGTAATCTTGACATTTGCAGGCAAATGGATGGCACTAGAAAACCACTACCGTGAGTGAGGTAACCCAGTCACAAAAACACAAACATTGTATTTACTCACTCACTCATATATGGATTTTAGACATGAATCAGAGGAGTGCCAGTCTACAATCCCAATGCTAGAGAGTCTGGGAATCAGGGAGGACCTTAAGAGAGATATGCATTGTACCCCAGAGAAGGGGAATGGGACAGGATCTCCTGAGCAGATTGGGAGCATGTGGGGAGGGGAGAGGGAGCTGGGAAAGAGAGAGGGGGAGAAGAGGAAGGGAAGGAAGACGTGGGGGAGCCGGAAGGTTGAGTTGGGGGAAGAATAGAGGAGAGCAGGATGAGAGATACCATACTAGAGGGAGCCATTTCAGGTTTGAGGAGAGATCTGGCACTAGTGAGGTTTCCAGAGATTTACAAGGATGACACCAAATGGCAAATTAAGCAATAGTGGGAAAGGCTACCTTAAATGCCCTTCCCTGATAATGAGTTTGACCACTACATTATATGCCATCCTAGAGCCTTCATCCAGTGAGTGATGGAAGCAGAGGCAGATACCCACAGCTAAACACTGAGCTGAACTCATGGAATCCAGTGACAGAAAGGGAGGACTCATGAGCAAAGGGGTCAAGACCAGGCTGGTGAAGCCCACAAAGACAGTGGACCTGAACAAGGGGAAACTCTTGGACCCCAGACTGATGGCTGAGAGACCAGCATTGGACTGATCCAGAACTCCTGAATGTGGGTGTCAGCGAGGAGGCCTCAGAAATCTATGCGGCCTTGGATAGTAGATCAGTATTTATCCCTGGCATACAAATCGACTTTGGGAGCCCATCCCATATGGAAGGATGCCCTCTCAGCCTGGACACAAGGGGGATTACCTAGGCCTTGCCCTGGCTGAAATGACAGACTCTAGAGACACCCCATGGAGGGTCTCACCCTCCTTGGGGAGGGGAGTGAAGATTGGGTGGGTGGTTGGGAGGGGTAGATGGGGGATGCGGAGGAGGAGAGGGAGAGGGAGATGGGATTGACATGTGAATCAGCAAGCTTGTTTCTAATTTAAATTTTAAAATACCATAAAAAAGAGTTACATTACTATTCTGAATGGAAGTAAGCCAAGAAAGTCTGGCAAGAAAGAAGCTAGTCAAAGCAATGAGGTAATAGATTGCAAGGAAAAGGTCAAAGAAAACCTGAGGTAAACAATAAAATAAAGAATACTTAAGGGGAGAAAATAAAACATACTCCACAAAATTGCTGGCCAACAGCAAAATCAAACAAAACAAACACCAAAAAAAAAAACTGGTGATTCACTTGTGAAATATAACAGAACACAGACCACTTTTATGGATTAGAAGGTCCTTGAAGTGAAAAACACAATTTTACAAGTACAAAAGGCTATTGCTATTAATGATCTGAAAAGAATAAAAATGAGAATATGGCAGGAACATGCACTGCAGATCTTGCCAGGGCTTAGCATAGAGAACTACAGTATTAATTTTAATAAAGTTACAGAACGTTTAACACTTCTCAAAGAGTTTTATACAGTGTTTGATAATTGCCAAACATTCTTCTTAATTGGACCATTGGAAAGAAACAAAAGTAAAACAACTTTCTATGTACATGCCAGTGACTGAAGTATGAGTATTTTCTTAAAACATGATCTTGTTTTAATAAGAATTTGAAAGTTCATGATTCTATGTTTTAGCTTTATTGAAAACCAAACTGCTTAGAAAACACAAACTACACTGTGGTAGTTTGAAAGAAAATGGCTGCCAAAAGGAGTAGAACTATTAGGAGGCATAGCTTTGTTGGAGTAAGTGTGGTCTTGTTGGAAAAAGTTTGTCACTCTGAGGTCTCCCACGTTCAAGCTACACCCAGTAACACAGTTCACTTTGTGTTCCCTGCAGATCAAGATGTAGGACTCTCAGCTCCTTCTCCAGCACCATGTCTGCCTACACACTGCCATTTCTTGCCATGATGACAATAAACTAAACCTCTGAATTTTAAGCCACCCAAATTAAATGTTGTCCTTCATGAGTTGGTGTGGTCACAGCATCTCTTCACAGCAATAGAAATCCTAAAACATACACTGAGGTTATTTTCCCCCTTAAAAATTTTTACTACAGCAGTTCTCAACCTAAGTGTCGTGACTATCAGAAAACACATATTTCCAATGGTTTTAGGAATCAAAACACAACTCAGTAGTAAAACTAGTTATGAAGTAGCAATGAGAATAATTTTATGGTTGGGGGGTCATCACATGATGAACTATATTAAAAGTTACAGCATTAGAAAGTTGAGAACCACTGTTTTACTATGATCATAAAATGTGTTTATTTTAGCAACAAATGATGTCTCCTAAGAAATAAGCAAATCTAGTGCTTGAGGTTTAAGAATGAGAATGGATCAACAACTCAACAATAATTCAAACACCATGCACACAATAAAACCTGTACCTATTAAAACAAAAGTGTCTTTGATGGTAGGACAGTGAATTTGAGACTACTCAGGAGTACATAGTGAGATCCTATATGAAAAAATATGTTTCTGCTCATGGCATTTAAATAAGAATATTTATACCGCAAAGACTGGTAATATAGACCAGTGATCTCAGCTACTTAGGAGGATAAGGCAGGAACATGGCAAGTTCAACAGAAGCCAGAGCAACTTACTGAACAACTATCTTTTAAAGAAAATGGGAGAGGGACAGTTGAGGATAGATTGCTTGCCTAGTATAGGCACAAAATTTACAGTAAATGTATAAGTTTGTAATTTATAATATTAAATAAGTTCAACAATCTCAGAAAGAAAATAATTGCATGGTCTTCTTCATGTGCATAACCTGGCCAATAATACATGTAAACACACATATGTATGGGAGTACAGTATAACATGTAGATAAGAAAAAAGAAAATCTAAATATTAGGAGATGAACAAGGACTAACTATAGATAATAGACATGAGTTATGAATGACAATAATTGTTTTTCTACTTCTAATTCTGTCATTTGATTATTTTGGTTTAATGCTTAGAAACATATTCAAGCCAGGCGTTGGTGGCACACATCTTTAATCCCAGCACTCAGGAGGCAGAGGCAGGAGGATCTCTGTGAGTTCAAGGCCAGTCTACAGAGTTCCAGGACAGCCTCCAAAACAATACAGAGAAACCCTGTCTCGAAAAACGAACAAAAAACTCAACATATTCAATAGTGAAAGTATAAAATCTCTAATGAGAAGCTCCACAGCTTCACAATAACTATTTTACTGCATAAAAGCTCATTGATATATAGACTTAATTTAATTTCAATGTGTAATGTTTTTATTTGAAGTTTTATGATAAAGTTTAGTTTAAAAATAATGCAGCCATAACCATTCAATTTCCCAACTTCCTTCACTATGCTATCTTCTGACATACCAGTACTATCTTTAGTATTTAATGCATGAAATATACACCTGATATTTGTATCTTCTGTATGTTACTATCTACTAAGCTATTATAAATAATGCCAGTGACAACCTTCTTTGATAATTACTATGTTTCAACAGCAAAAAAAGATAAATAAGTTTTAAAATGTTGTAGCAAATGTTATAAATACACACATTAGTGGCTGAGATTTAAAATACAGTCAAGAAACAACTAGAAATTTTAATTAGTAATTCTTTGTTTTTTAATATTTTACTCTCTAACTTCTCACTTCCAATTTGGTGGTTCTCAAATCGGGCAATACACTAGCTATTGAAGACTACAAATGTCTCTATCCTAATCGCCCCCCCCAAAATAACTTTATTGGTTTAGGTATGAACATACTTTTAAAATTCTCAAACGAACTAATGCATAGCTATGGTTCTTTAAATTAGTACTTCATGACATCCTAAACTTTTTTTAAAGAAGTAAAATACAAATCCTACCTAAATTTAAAATCATAATAGATTTGTTCTTCTATAGACTAAGGCTAATTTCTATAAATGTTATCCCAACCAAAAATAATAACTTTAAAAACCTCCATTCTTGGTTCAAGAGACGGCTCAGTTCAAAGGTGGTTGTTACCTAGCCTGACATCAGAGTTGATCCCAGGAACTACACAATGAAGAGAACCATTTCCCACAAGTTGCCCTCTGACCTTCACACACATCTTACAGCATACATACTGTTTCCCAAAATAAACATAAAATGGTTTTATGTAAAAGCAAAAATGTATTAATTAAAATGAAAACAAATTTCCATTCTGTGATGAGGGTAGGTTGCAGCTTAACAGTAGAACATGAGTTCAGTATGTGGAAGGTCCTGGACTCCATCACTAGTAATGGCGCAGGGAAACCCAAATTCCATTCTAACCAATTTGTGAACAGATACACAGGTTACCTATGGTTAAAACCATTTTCTTAATCGTACTTTATAGTAATCTCAGATTGTATAAAGACTTTATGATTTATACTTATTTTTTCTGAGTCCTTAGCTACAAAACATGTTTAAAATTATTTGAAGTTATTCGTATGTCATAATTATTGCCTCTGCATTGTTACTCCTACAGTATGAAACATTGATGAAAAGTGTACTAGAAAAGGATAGTATGATGTTATTTTGGATAAAATGAAGAAAAATTTGATATGTTAATGTTTTATAAATTATTTCTAAAATATTACTTTAAAATTATATTGCTTCTTGAGAGCTTTCACAGTCTTCCAACATAATATATTGTACAAATTAACCTCCAACAATAAAGGTCATTATTAAACCATGTGAAAGATGTGAACTATGTTTAGTAGTATATACTACTATCACTTACAGATGTTTTTGAAGGTGGTATTATTTCCAACGAGTAATCCACTTCCTGTGTACTAAGACTTCTGAGTGATAGAGAACATTCTCCAATGGTTTTCTTCCTGGGAGTCTGGGTTTGAATCTTAAATACAAGTCTTGCAGTTTGTAGATTTTGTAGTTTAATAGCAAACACAAAAGTTTCCATAAACTCAATAGCCTTAAAAAACAAGAAAACATTAAACATAAATATTAAAAAGGCTGATATGCCATCATAAAATAAGTTTTATACCTAAGAAAGGTATTTAGAGTATGCTTACAAGAATATCTACTATCTCTAAAATTACCAATATATTATGTTTTAGTTTGCATTTTAGATTATTTTCCTAGAACATATTTCAAGTAAAAAGCTATATTAATAGCTATAAATATATATGTTTAGAGCAGTGGTTCTCAAACTTCCTAATGTTGCAACCCCCTAATACACTTCCTCATATTGTGGTGACCTGACTAAACATAAAATTTTGTTGTTAGTTCATAACTATAATTTTGCTATTGTTATGAATTGTAATGTAAATATCTGATATTCATGATATCTGATATGTAACCCTATGGAGTTGCAACCCACATATTAAGAACCACTATTTTAGAGTAATCAAAAAAATTCCTGTGCAGAATTGGAGGGTTCAGAGAATCTGGAAGGAGTTGGGGAAGGGAGAAAGCATGATTAGAATATACAGTATACAAAATTTCAATAAAATATTTCCTAATCATATTAAGTTAAAATAGCAGTATGTATTTCATTATTAAAATTAAAAATGAATTTTCTTGAGTTCTTAGATACTTGAATTATATTATTTTAAAGATGATATGTTCTCGTAAAAGCTATCTTTTCAGGGCTGGAGAAATGGCTTAGAGTGTATATTTTTTATTTAAATTAGAAACAAGCTTGCTTCATAGGTCAATCCCAGCTCCCTCTGCTTCACCTCCTCTGTTGTCCCTCCACCAGCTCCCAAGCCCTCACCCAATCCCCACACCATTCCCCAGGGAGGGTGAGGCCCTCCATAGGGGATCTCCAGAGTGTATCATTTCATCCAGGGCAGGGCTTAGTCCCCCACCCATGTGTCCAAGCTGAGAGAGCATCCCTATATTTGGAATAGGCTCCCAAAGATCATTCATACACCATGGTAAACACTGATCTACTACCCAAGACCCCAAAGATTACCAAGATCCCCTCACTGACATCACATTCAGGGAGTCTGGATCAATACCATGCTGGCCTTTCAGTCATCAGTCTGGGGCCCAAGAGCTCCCCGTTGTCAGGTCAGCTGTCTCTGTGGGTTTCACCAGCATGGTCTTGACCCCTTTGCTCATCACTCTTCCCTTTATGTCACTGGGTTCCAGGAGTTCAGTTCAGTGTCTAGCTCTGAGTATCTGCCTCTGCTTCCATCAGTCGCTGGATGAAGGTTTGGCAGTGGGATTGTAGGTTGGCATTCCCCTGATCCATGTCTAAAATCGATAAATGAGTGAATACATTCCATGTTTGTCTTTTTGTACCTGGGATACCTCACTCAGGATGGTTTCTTCTAATGCCATCCATTTGCCTGCAATTTTCAAGATTACATTGTTTTATTTTTCTGCTGAGTAGTACTCCATTGTGTAAATGTACCACATTTTCTCTATCCACTATTCAGTTGTGGGGCATCTAGGTTGCTTCCAGGATCTGGCTATTACAAACAATGCTGCTATGAACATAGTGGAACAGATGTCCTTGTTGTATGAATGTGCATCTTTTGGGTATATGCCTAAGAGTGGAATTTCTGGGTCTTGTGGTAGACTAAGTCCCATTTTCCTGAGGAATCTCCATACTGATTTCCAAAGTGGCTGTATGAGTTGGCACTCCCAGCAGCAGTAGAGGAGTGTTCCCCTCTCTTCACATCCTCTCCAGCATAAACTTTCCTTGATGTTTTTTATTTTACCCATTCTGACAGGAGTGAGATGGTATCTCAGAGTTGTTTTGATTTGCTTTTCCCTAATAGCTAAGGATGTTGAACACTTTCTCAAGTGTCTCTCAGCCATTTTAGACTGCTCTATTGAAAATTCTCTATTTAATTCTGTACCCCACTTTTTAATTGAATCCACTGGTATTTCAGAGACTTGCTTCTTGAGTTCTTTGTAAATTTTGGAGATCAGCCCTCTGTCAGATGTGGGGTTAGTGGATATCTTTTCCCATGCTGTGGGTTCCCTTTTTGTCTTGTTGACTGTATCCTTTGCCTTACAGAAGCTTCTCAGGTTCAGGAGGTCCCATTTATTAATTGTCAATCTCAGTGTCTGTGCTCCTGGTGTTATGTTCAGGGAATGGTCTCCTATACCAATTCATTCAAGGTTACCTTCCAATTCCTCTTATAAGAAGGCCAGTATGGATGAATTTATATTGAGGTCTTTGATCCATTTGGACTTAAGTTTTGTGAATGTCCATAGACATGGATCTATCTGCAGTCTTCTACATACCAACATCCAGTTATGCCAATACAATTTGTTGAAGATAATTTCCTTTTTCCATTGTATAATTTTAGCTTCTTTGTCAAAGATCAGGAATTTATACGTGTATGGGTTAATATCAGGGTGTTCAATTCGATTCCATTGGACTACCTGTCTATTTTTGTGCCAATACCAAGCTGTTTTCAGGACTATAGCTCTACAATAGAGCTGGAAGTAAGGGATGGTGATGCCTCCGGATGTTGCTTTGTTTAACAGGGTTGTTTTGGCTATCCTGGGTTTTTCCATATAAAGTTGAGAAGTGTTTTTTCAAGGTCTGTGAAGAAATATGCTAGGATTTTGATGGGGATTCCATTGAGTCTGTAGATTGCTTTTGACAAGAATGCTATTTTTACTACATTGATCCTACCTATCCAAGAGCATGGGAGATCTTTCCATTTTTCTGGTATCTTGTTTAATTTCTTTCTTTAAAGACTCAAAGTTCGTGAGATATAAGTCTTTCACTTGTTTGGTTAGAGTCACCCCAAGGTATTTTATGTTGTTTGTGGCAATTGTAAAGGATGATGTTTAATCTGACTTATTTCTCAGCCCTTTTATCGTCTGTATATAGTAGGGTTACTGATTTTTTTGAGTTGATCTTGTATCCTGCCACTTTGCTGAAGGTGTTTATCGGCTGTATGAGTTCCCTGGTAGAGTTTTTGGGTCACTTATGTAAATTATCATATCATCTGCAAATAGTGAAAGTTTGACTTTTTCCTTTCCAATCTGTATATCCTTGACCTCCTTTTGTTGTCTTATTGCTCTAGCCAGAACTATAAGTATAATATTGAAGAGGTATGAAGAGAGGGAACAGCCTTATCTTGTTCCTGATTTTAGAGGAATTGCCTTGTTCTCTCCATTTAGCTTGATGTTGGCTGTTGGTTTTCTGTATACAGCTTTTATTATGTTGAGGTATGTTCTTGTTATCCCAGATCTCTCCAAGACCTTTATCATGAAGGGGTGATGGATTTTGTCAAAGGCTTTTTCAGCATCTAGTGAGATGATCATGTCATTTTCATTTCTCAGCTTGTTTATATGATGGATTACATTGATGGATTTTCATATGCTGAAACATCCCTGCATCCCTAGGATGAAACCTACTTGATCATGGTGGATGATTTTTGTGATGTGTTCTTGGATCCAATTTGCCAGTATTTATTGGGTATTTTTGCATCAATGTTCATGAGGGATATTGTTCTGAAGTTCTCTTTCTTGGTTGTGTCTTTGTGTGGCTTGGGTATCAATGTTATTCAAGCCTCGCAAAAAGTGTTTGGCAAAGACCCTTTTGTTTTTATTGCATGGAATACTTTTGAGGAGAACTGGTAAGCTGTTCTTTGAATTTCTGATAGAATTCTGCACTGAGGCCATCTGGACCTGGGCTTTTTTTTTGATTGGGAGACATTTGATGACTGCTTTTATTTCCTTAGGGGGTCATAAGTCTATTTAAATTGCTTATCTGTTCTTAATTTAATTTTGGTAAATGATATCTATCAAGAAAATTGTCCATTTCCTTTAAATTTTCCAATATTGTGGAGTATAGGTTTTCAAAATGAGACCTGATGATACTCTGGATTTCCTCAGTGTCTGTTGTTATGTCACCCTTTTCATTTCTGATTTTGTTAATTTGCATGTTCACACTCTTTGTATTGCTTTCCTAGTTTCTACTACATTGAATTCAGCCCTCAATTTGATTGCTTCCTGTCATCTACTCCTCCAGAGTAAGTTTGCTTCCTTTTGTTCTAGAGTTTTCAGTTGTTCTCTAGTGTGAGTATTCTCCAGTTTCTTCACATGGGCACTCAGTGCTATGAACTTTCCTCTTAACACTACTTTCAAAGTGTCCCGTCAGTTTTGGTATGTTGTTTCTTCATTCTCCTTGAATTCTAGGAAGATTTTTATTTCTTCTTAGACCCAGGAATGGTGCAAATGCACATTATTCAATTTCCATGAGTTTGTATGGTTTCTGCAGTTTGTGTTGTTGTTGAAATCTAACTTTAGAGCATGGTGGTCTGATAAGATATATAGAGATATTCCAATTTTTTGTACCTGTTGAGGTTTTGCTATGTTGCCTTTGAGAAGGTTCCATGTGGAGCTGAGAAGAAGGTATACTATTTTGTGTTTGGTTGGAGTGTTCTATAGATGTCTGTTAATCCCAGTTTAGTCATAACTTCTATTAGTTCCTTTACTTCTTTGTTAAGTTTCTGTCTGATAGTTCTGCCTAGTGGTGAGAGTGGAGTGTTGAAGTCTCCCACTGTAAGTGTGTGAGGTTTTATATGTGATTTGAGTTTTAGTAATGTTTCTTTTACAAATGTGGATGCCTTTATATTTGGAGCATAGATGTTCAGAATTGAGACTTCATCTTGGTTAATTTTTCCTATGATGAGTATGTAATGACCTCATTCATCTCTGATTGATTTTAGTTTAAAGTCTAATTTGTTAGATATTAGGACTGCTACCCCTGCTTGTTTCTTGGGTCCATTTCCCAACCCTAAACTCTGAGGTTAACACTGTCTTTGAAGCTGAGGTGTGTTTCTTGTATGCAGCAGAAGCATGGATTCTGTCTTCGAATCCATTCTGTTAGCCTATGTCTTTTTATGGGCAAGTGAAGACCATTAATATTGAGGGATATTAGTGACCATTGATTGCTCATTCTTGTTTGTTTTGGAATCATTGTTGTTGGTGGAATTTTATGTGGATTTCCACCTGTTATTTCTTTTGCCTCTTGGTAAAGTGGGATTATCTATTGCCTATGTTTTTCTGGTTGTAGCTAACTTCCTTGGGTTGGAGTTTTCCTTCCAAAACTTTCTGTAGGGCTTGGTTAGTGGATAGGTATTGTTTAAATCTTGTTTTGTCATGCAATATCTTGTTTTCTCCATCTATAGTGATTGAATGCTTTGCTGAGTATAGCAGTCTGGGCTGGCATCCATGGTCTCTTAGTGTTGGTAGAATATATATCCAGGATCTTCTGACTTTCAGAGTTTCCATGGAGAAGTCAGGTGTAATTCTGATAGGTTTTTCTTCATATGTTACTTGGCCTTTTTCCTTAGCAGCTCTTAATATTCTTTTTTATTCTCTATGTTTGGGGTCTTGATTATTATGTGGCAAGGAAACTTTTTTTGTGGTCAACTCTATTTGGTGTTCTGTAAGCTTCTTGTACTTTCATTGGCATGTCTTTCTTTAGGTTGGGAAAGTTTTCTCCTATGATTTTGTTGAATATGTTTTCTGCCCCTTTGAGGTAGGTTTCTTCCCCTTCTTCTATACCTATTATTCTTAAGTTTGGTCTTTTTCACCTTCTTCTATACCAATTATTCTTAAGTTTGGTCTTTTCACAGTGTCCCATATTTCTTGAATATTTTGTGTTAGGGATTTGTTGGACTTAAGATTTTCTTTGGTCGATGAATCTATTTCTCCCAGTGTATCTTCAACACCTGAGATTCTCTCTTCCATATCTTGCATTCTGTTGGTTATGCTTGCATCTGTAGTACCTGATTGTCTGCCCAGCTTTTCTATTTCCAGCATTCCTTCAGACTGTGGTTTTTTTATTGTTTCTATTTCAGATTTCAGTCCTTGCACTTTATGAACTGTTTCTTGCAATTTTTGCTGTATCTTTTCCTCCATTTCTTGCATTTTTTGGTTTGTTTTTTCTTCTAACTCTTTAAGGGATTTTCCCATCTCATCTTTGACGGCCTCTATTATTTTCATGAAGTTGTTTTTAAGGTCATTCCCTTCTCCTTCATTTATGTTGGAATGTTCGAGTCTTGCTGGTGTAGAGTCTCTAGACTCTGGTGGTGACATATTTGTTTTTGTGTTGCTGAGTGTGTTTTTATATTGTCTCCTTCCCATCCCTTCTTCCAGTAGGTGCAGAAGGAGCCTCTTCCTCTCCTGGTGCGTATGGGACCTGGGTTCGCAGGACCAGGGTTCACTTCCAGTGAGTGCAGGTAAGACCAATGCTCTGGTAGCTCTCCTCTTCCTGGTCCCATAGGTGGAGAAATGGACTAGGATGCTGGGGTGCATTGGCTCCCGCTGCTGGGATGGCAGCTGCAGTGGCAGACCCCAAGCACACGCTGAGTGTATACTGTTTTTACAATGGACATGAGTTCAAGTCTCAGCACCCATATCAAGTGGCTTTACACCCACCTGTTAATTGCCGCTCCAAGAGATGCAATCATCTAGCCAAAATGTGCATTGTACTTATGTGTACAAACCAATACACACACACACACGTAAACATAAAGAATCTTAAAATATATTTTCATTTCCCTATATAAACAACTTTTTAAACATATCAAAAGACAATAATGGGCATGTATTTAAATTAATGTGAAAACAATCTATAAAATAAAACTCAAGAAAATAATCCTTCTAGTTACTATAATTGGAAGATTTGTGGAACAAGATTAACTGCAATTCTGTAATGACTTTCAAAGCCAAAGAGTATTGGAAGCAAGAAAAGTAAAGAAGTTTCTTACCTATTGGTAATCTTCTATATATTCTAGCTAATTACAGTTTTCTTTTTAAATTCATCTTAATACCAAAGAAACAGTAAATACTCTTAGAATTTAAAATCATCTTTTAAAAGCAAATTTCTTCAAAACAAAACACTTTCTTATTCTCACATTTTACAGAAATAAAAGAGATAAATATGAGAAAAATGAAAAAATTCAAATACACAAAGCCACTTACATTGGAAGCTTCTTTGGCTGAAGATTTGAAATGCACTGGTTTGGACAAAGTTAAAATTCCTTTTATAGATATTGTGGGAGTGTCTCCATAACTAGAGGGCCAAATTACATCTCTGCACTAAAAACAAAAATAAATTGAAAGCATAATTTATGTTTTTACAAAGGACTTTGACAATACAAATATTTGTGATGTATGTATTAGTTAATAACTTTTTTGAGACTACAGACATAGCCCTGGTTTTGGGGACTCATTATGTAGATGAGGCTGGCCTCAAAGATCCACCTGCCTCTGCCTCCAGAGTACTGGGATTGAAGATGTGTGCTAATATGTTCTATTGAGTTAATGATTTTTTAATTAAATTTTTAATAAATTTTAGAATATTACGATTTCATGTTTCATCATATTAACATTTTGACTTTTTCTAGATTCCTATTAGTTTCCATCATGACATTTTAATATATACTTGTTTTGGTTAATACTCTTCCTATACTCCTCTCGCCTCTCATTTGTACCCAGTTATCCTCTTCTAGCTTTCAAGTTACCTATATTCCATTATCATCCATAAACCTTATCCTTAAAAACTCTATTCCATAACAATTTTAAAAGAAGCCATAAACACCCCTTTTATGGTCCTCTTTCTAATTTCCTAACATCCAACATGTCCATATAAAAATTAAAAGCAGGGTCCACATGTGAAAGAGAGCATGTTGTTTATCTTCTGAGTCTTGTTTAACTTGTTTATTTTCAGATCTATTCATTTTCCTGAAATTTTCACATTTATATAGCTAAATAAAATTCCATTGTGTGTATATACCATATCTTTAAAATCAATTCTTATGCTGACACACATATAAGTTGATTTAATTTCTTTGCTACTGTGAATAGAAAAGCAATAAACATGAATATACAAGTAAATCTGTAATGAGACTTATAGTCCTTTGGGTACATGCCTAGCAGCTGAGTCATATGGTAGCTTTATTTTTAGTTTGTTGGGTTTTTTTTGCGACCTCTCTATAATGATTTCCACAGTGGCTACACCAGTTTACACTCCCACAAAGGATTCCTTTTCCCCAGCATCCTCACTAGTATTTGTTGTCATTTGCTTTTGAAGATAGGCATTTCCCTGATGGTTGAGGATACGGAACATTACTTAGGAATTTGTTATCCTTTTGTATTCCTTCTTTCAAGGTCTCTCTGTTCAGTTTAGTGTTCACTTATTGACTGGCAGTTTGGAGGTTTTGTTGTTTAATGTTTTCATTTCTTTATATATTCAAGATACTAACTCCTTGTCTAAAGTATAACTGGCGAAGACTTTCTCCCAGGTAGGCTGTCCATTCACTCTGCTGATAGTTTCCTTTCCTATTCAGAAGCTTTTAAATTTTATGAAATTCCACTTGTTGATCTTTGGAGTTGTTTCCTGGGCTATTAGAGTCCTGATCAAATAGTTTTTTACCTAAACCTGTATCTTGAAACTTTTCCTGTTTCCTTCTAGCAGTTCATTGTTAAATACTTTATTAAACACTCTGCAAAATACAATAGAATCCTAAATTATGAAGACAATTACTGACCCCCTTCTCCAAGAAGAAGCAACACTAGATACATGCTGATTAAAAATATTCAATTTAATAACAAAAATCAGTATTAATTACACTAATTTACCTGCAGAACTGTGATCCAAATCTGTTCTGCTGAAGAATTATAAAACAATTTCACATTCAATCTCCCCAAGTCTCTTTCATCTCCTGATAGGGTAATTGTATCTGAATTATAAAGGACAAAAAATATAAATTCCATGCAGTCTTCTTAATCCATCTAAGCTCATTTGATACAAACCAATTTTTAAAAAATATACACATATACATACATATATAGATACATAGATAGATACATAGATAGATAGATAGATAGATAGATAAAGAATTTTTGAGACAAGATCTTACTATGCCTATTCTGAAACTCATGTAGATCAAGCTGGTCTTGAAATCACCCAGATCTGCCTGCCTTTGACTATAAAGCATGTGCCAACATACCTGGCAAAAACTGATATTTTTTTTAAGTTTCCAATGTTGTAAGACAAACTCACTCTTGTATCTTTTTTAGTGAAGCTCTAGACATAAAATACACTAAGAATGCATATACTGTAAGAATTTAACAAAATTGCAATGTGAGTGATTGGGTTAAAACTCTGCAAACTTTTGCAAACAGCACTTGTAAGATCTATGTGCTTCTAAAAGCTCCTTAATATATATACTTTAAAACACAAATAAGCCAGGTAGTGGTGGTGCCTGCCTTTAATCCTAGTACTCAAGAGGCAAAGGCCAATGTATCTCTGTGAATTTGAGGCCAGCCTGGTCTATAGGACAGCCAAGGTTATACAGAGAAACCTTATCTAAATGAACAAACAAAAAAATCTACCCCCCCCCCCAGTGTGTGTGGGTGTGGGTGTGTGTGTGTCCTTATATTCTTTTATATAACCTCCTTCAAATTAGTATTGCCCTCTCCCACGGGAGCCATGAAAGATGCCAATTTCATACTGATTCCGTGTGTGTGTGTGTGTGTGTGTGCGTGTGTGTGTGTGTGTGTGTGTGTGTGTCAAAAGATATGTAATGGCTTACTTTAAAAAATATTCATTCTTGTCTGAACACTGAGCCATGATCTATCTGATCTGAGTTTGTGATACTACTGTCAACATAGGTTCAATAACAAGCATAAAGAATGTATAGAACATTTTTTCTTTATCCAATTATAACACTTTCAAACTATTACTGAGTAGAAATAACCTGTAAAACAGTATAAATAGGATACTGCAGTCCTTACCCAGGCTTCTGTTACTGCCCTGAGAATTTTTCCTTGAAGAACAACTACTAGGCACACTGGACAATGAGTCATGTCTCTGCAACAACAACAAAAATACTTCAGCCAGAAACTGCATACCAAACTTTAAAACCTTTCATATTTATGCCCCAATAAATACCTTGATATCAAACTCTGTCAGTATTATCAGTCAGAATTTCCCACTTTTGTAGGAGAAGAAACACTCTAACATGTATCAAAAAATACCTTCATAGATAATATTGGAAAGCCTTTAGTAGTTTTGGTTTGGTATTAATTTTCATATTGCATACATTACTGGAAGTGTCCAGTAACCTATAAAAGTGTAAAACAGAATTATCAAAGCATAGTCCCTTTAGACCAGGAACATTACTGCATCATGCAAACTTCATACAAATAAAAATTCAGAAGCCATCACAGGACTATAAAGCATTATGTATTTAGAAATTAATGACAGGATTATTAGAGATAATTTAGAATATATGCCCATTTATAAAGCATGCCTTCTCCAACAACAAAGCGAAGTCCATAAGTATATATGTGAAAATGTTCAGGGTGCTTTTCCCCTCACAGGATGACAGATAACTTATCTGATGTTTACTTTTTTTATTTTTTGGTGTTTTCAGACAAGGTTTTACTCTCTGGCCTAGGCTTTTCTCATATTCTTCAATGATCCTCTTGCCTCAGCCTTCTAGTGCTGGGATTACAAGCATGAAGCACCATTTCTAGCTTAGTTCCTAATTTTAAACAGAACTTGGCTGAACTAAGAATGAAACACTTTAAACTATCAAAGGATGCCAGATCAGTATTATAGAAAAATTAAAGTCTTACACCCCAATGGAAATACTAGTAACTGCCTGATTGCGGTCAATAAGCAAAGAAGTACTTTTAACTATGATTACAAATCCCAACTGCCTCAAGATCCTTAAGTTTGTGCCAATTGAGGGATACAAAACTATGCAAAATGAATCAAATATAATGCCTTTTATTAATCACTGAAATGTTCCTAAAATAATGACTATAGGAAATGTCAAGCACTTATACTTCAAATACTGTAATACACATAGCTACAGAAATACATGTGATTCCTAATGTAATTCATATAGTTCTGACTTTTTATTTGAAAAGTTCACATATAATGAAAGTTATATAATTATATACCTGGATAAATCGTTGAGGTGAAGTTGTGAGATCAAACATAGATTTGCTTAGCCCAGGGGAACCAGGAAGTTTACTGGTCCTTAAATCACAAACTACAAAGGGACAAGAGAAAAGTTATTTTTATTAATAACAATGAAACAGTGACATTCTACTTCATTGTCATAAGCCAAATCTCTACAGGAATCATCATGTATATTATATATAAATTTATATAAACAGAAATTCTGATAAAATCTTTAAAAGTTCAACTATTTTAATCTTTAAATAGAAGTCAATAGCAATTGAACAACACATTTTCATATCCACATCAAATTTTAAGTGTGTTTTGCTTATATTCCCCCAGTCCTTCATCCAAAAAAGTAATTTGATACAAATTAAGTATTCTCTGACAAATGTAACTTGACTACTATTTAATGAGCACATACATTATAACATTTTAATCCTGAGTTAAATGTGCTCTTTTATTTCTGGTTCTCGTCCCAAACTGTAAGATCTTTTTTAAAAAGGAACTCTGCACACTAAGTGTGTATTCTAGCACAGTGCTGCTAAGCACAGAGTAGCCCTTATGAAAATATGTTATTTTCGTGCTGGGCGTTGGTGGTGCACGCCTTTAATCCCAGCACTCGGGAGGCAGAGGCAGGCGGATCTCTGTGAGTTCGAGGCCAGGCTGGACCGACAGCCTCCAAAACAGAGAAACCCTGTCTCGTAAAAACCAAAAAAAAAAAATGTTATTTTTAGTGATGTTGATGTATGTGTGCATATAGACCAGTAAAATCTAAAAACGTGAGAATTGCATGAATCTGAGACACACATTGTAGTTATATAACTGATAGAGTCCCAAATAGCAAACGTTAAAATTCTAGTTATTCTCTATTATTTGTATCTACCTCCAATCATGAGTTCATAAAAAAAAAGGAAATATATTGGCTGGACCCATGGGTGGAGAAGAAGACTAGGATCTGGGCTTGTTTAACCCACAGAAACAGCTGACCTGAACAAGGGGGAGCTCTTGAACCCCAGACTGATGGCTGGGAATCTAGCATGGGACTAATCCAGACCCCCTGAATGTGGGTGTCAGTGAGGAGGCCTAGGCAATCATGGGGCCTTGGGTAGTAGTAGATCAGTATTTATCCCTGGCATACAAATAGATTTTGGGTGCCCATTCCACAATGAGAGATACTCTCTCAGCCTGGACTCTTGGGGGAGGGCCTAAGCCCTGCCCTGGATGAAATGACAGACTATGGAAACCCACCATGGAGGGCCTCACTCTCCCTGGGGAAAGGTGTGGCAAATGGGGGAGGGGGATGGGGGATTGGTGGGAGGGCATGGGAGGAGGGGAAGCAGAGGGAGAGGGAGCTGGGATTGACATGTGAAGCAACCTTGTTTCTTTTTTGTTTTTTTTGTCTTATTAGGTCTTTTTTTTATTAATTTTTTTTTATTTTCCATTTTAAATTTAGATAAGAAACAAGGTTGCTTCACAAGTCAGTACGAGGTCCCTCTCCCTTTCCCTCCCCTCCTCCCGTGCCCTCCCCCATCCCCCCCCGTTATCCCCTCATTCCCCCAGGGAGGGTGAGGCCCTCCATGGGGGTGTCCATAGTCTGTCATTTCATATAGGGCAGGGCCTAGATCCTTCCCCAAGAGTTCAGGGTGAGAGTGCACCTCACATTGTTCTATGGGAGTCCAGAGACCGTGTGTATACTTGGGATGGGTACTGATCTGCTGTCCAAGGCTCAATAGATTGTGGTGGCACAACCTTGTTTCTAATTTAAATTTAAAAATAAAGTAAATAATATATATAAAATAGGGAAAAGCAATATAAAATAAAATAATACCTTTTTAAAAAGGAAATATATCTATTGTAAAATTTATTAAGTATACAACATAAAATTTATGTAAAATAATCCATAATAAAAATTTTAAAGAAAAATAAAATGGAATTTGGAACTACCAAAAGACATATTACATTATCTGTCAACATGTATATTAATTATAACACCAGAGAGAAGCCCATAACACTTATCACACACTTGTGAAGTCTGCTTTGTTCTTATTTTAAAACTGCTCTTAATAATAACTATTTCTGCTAGGGTCTTAGATTTAATTTCTAAATTTTCTAAAGATAAGCCCAGAGAAAAAGCACAAAAATGTTTTCTTACCAGATCCATACATTTTTTTTGTTTCAAAATGAGGAGAAAAGCGCCTACTTATGTCAGGTGAAAAGTGCTGATATATATAGCATGGATTATACACATCATAGCTGGGCCCATGGTAGAACGAACTGCAAAGTTCTGCCTTTTGATCTCCAAAAGATGCTCTAGCAGATCCTGAAAGCAAGTGTTTCTATAAGCCAACAGTGATACACTGAAGGAACATGCTAGAAATACTTTGTCACAAATAATACTAAAATATATACCTTAACCAGCACACCTTTATAGAATTGTAATTGAATGATATAAGGAATGAGCCAAGAATCCTGCTCTTAAAAGACTGGCAAATTTTTGGCATTTTTCTTTGTGCAAAGATAATTCTGTACTTCACAACCTGAATTTCCTCTTACGTTTCTACTTATCATATATAACATTACATATATCCACTTTAAGAAAACAACATTTAGAAAATTGACCACAAGCAATAAGATACAATAAGATCTTTTATTTGAAAGGGCTCAAGTAAAATAAAGCATTTTTCAACAACAATGCAATTAAGTTGGAAATCAAATAACAACAGCAAAATTAATAGAAAATATTTATAGAAATACTAAGAACCAAGAATTTTTTTAAAGATTTATGTATTTATTACAGTGTTTTGCCTACATGCCAGGAGAGGACACCAGACTGAATTGTAGATGTTTGTGAGCCACCAGGTGGTTGCTGGGAATTGAACTCAGGACCTCTGGAAGAGCAGTCAGTGCTCTTAACCTCTGAGCTATCTACCTCTCCAGCCAAGAATATTTGTAACATAACCTTTAAGAAGAAAATCAAAAGACTTGAGAGACACCTCAGCTGTTAAAAGCACTTGCAGCTTTTCCAGAAGACTGGAGTTCAGAACCCAGCACCCACATCAGGCAGCAAACAACTACCTGTAAATCCAGCTCCAGGGCATCTGACTTCCTCTTCTGGATTCCTCAGGCACCCACACACCATGGCAAACCAAAAGACACATAGACACATACATATAAATAAAAATAAATCTTTAGAAAACAAAGTAGCAAGAAGAAAACAAAATTAAAAATTATTTTTGTACTAGTTATAAAGAATTGAATTTTGGTATAAAGATAGAAAAACAGATTAATACACAGAATAGAAGATCCTGAAAGAGTGATTATTTTATGGTTGTTTGATATATAAGTAATGTGACCACATACAGCAGTGGAGAAAAGAAGGTATTTTCACTACAATGTTAAGTTAACTAGATACTGATATGGGGGAGAAAGACTTACTTTAATCATATTTATTTTGAAAATTATATGTAGGTCACAGATCTAAATTAAACATCAAAGACTAACCTTCTATAGTTAACTTTTCTGTAAGAAAGGTTTTGAACACAGAACATTAATCATAAAAGTATTTAAACTATACCAAAATTTAAAAGATGTTCATCAAAAGGTTACTTAAGAAAGTGCACAGGAAACTACAAGTGGGAGAAGACACATGCAACCAAATACAACTGGCCTCTACACAAATTGGTTTACAACTTAAATAGGCACTTAGAAGGAAGGCTATAAATCTCATTAGTCATAAAAAAACATGATTTAAAACCCCAGAAAGATACACATGTAAACAAAATGATTAAAACTAAAAAGACTGACAATGACATGTGTTTGGTAAGAAAATAAAGCAATAATAACTGTTGTATTCTGCTAGTAGGGATGTAAATCTACACAATCATTGTGAAAGAGTTTTGCAATTTCTACTGAAGCTACCTCTTACCTCTAACTCAGTCAGAAAGGGCTGTCCTGTCCTCATTGTGGCTAAAGAATAAATATCTGAGACTGAATACTGAATGCCAGCTCCTATCTAGAGCTGGGATTAAAGGTTTGGAGCCCAAGTGCTGAGATCTCCTTTGTGTGAGCTGTTTCTCTTCTAGACTGGATGAATTTAGTGTAGCTTGGTGTGACTTTGAACTAACAGAGATCCATTTGTCCATTTGCCTCTGTCTCCCAAGTCCTGGGATGATAATTGTGTACCACCACTACCTATGTCTGTTTGTATGCCAGGGATAAACACCGATCTACTGCCCAAGGCCCCATAGGTTGCCCAGGCCTCCTCACTGACTCTCACACTCAGGGGATCTGGATCAGTCCCATGCTGGCCTCCCAGCTGTCGATCTGGGGTCCAAGAGCTCCCCTTGTTCAGATCAGCTGTCTCTCCTGGTTTTGCCAGCCTATTCTTTGCCAATTTGCTCATCACTCCTCTCTCTCTCTCTCTCTCTGTCACTGGGTTCCATGGGTTCAGTTCAGTGTTTAACTGTGGGTGTTTGCCTCTGCTTCCATCAGTCATTGGACGAAGGTTCTAGGATGGCATATAGTGCAGATGTCAAGTTCATTATCAGGAATGGGCATTTGGTTGTCTCTCCACTATTGCTTAGCTTGCCAGTTGGTGTCATCCCTTTAGATCACTAGAGGTCTCACAGATGCCAGATCTGTCTTCTAACCTATGACTCCTTCTTTTATGGATGTCTCATCCTGTTCTCTCCCTATTCTACCCCCGACTCAACCTTCCTGTTCCCCCATGACCTACTCTCTCTTCCTCTTCTCCCCCTCTCTTCTTCCCAGCTCCCACTCCCCCCCCACCCCTTGTCATGTTCCCAATCTGTTCAGAAGATCTTGCCTCATTACTCTTCTCTGGGGTACCATGCATATCTCTCTTAGGTTCCTTCCTGTTTCCCAGACTCTCTGTCAGTGAAAGTGCAGAAGCAACCCAGATGTCCCTCCACTGAAGAGTAGATAGAGAAAATGTGGTACATTTATACAATGGAGTACTACTCAGCAGAAAAAAAAAAAAACAATGGAATCTTGAAATTTGCAGGCAAATGGATGACACTAGAAGAAACCATCCTGAGTGAGGTAACACAGTCACAAAAAAAGCATGGTATGTACTCACTCATATATGGATTTTAGACATGAAACAGTGGAGTACTAGCCTACAATCCCACTGCCAGAGAGTCTGGGAATCAGGGAGGACCCTAAGAGAGATATGCATGATACCCCATAGAGGGGGAAAGGGACGGTATTTCCTGAAGGGAATAGGAGCATGGTGGGAGGGGAGAGGGAGCTGGGAAAAAGAGATGGGGAGAAGAGGAGGTGAGAGGAGGATATGGGAAAGCAAGAAAGTTGAGTTGGGGGAAGAACAGAGGAAAGCAGGATGAGAGATACCATAATAGAGGGAGCCACTACAGGTTTGAAGAGATATCTGGCACTAGTGAGATTTCCAGAGATCTACAAGGATGACACCAACTGGCAAACTAAGCAATAGTGGGAAAGGCTACCTTAAATGTCCTTCCCTGATAATGAGTTTGACCACTACATTATATGCCATCCTAGAGCCTTCATCCAGTGAGTGATGGAAGCAGAGGCAGATACCCACAGCTAAACTCTGAACTGAACTCCTGGAATCCAGTGACAGAAAGGGAGGACTGATGAGCAAAGGGGTCAAGACTGGGCTGGTTTAACCCACAGAAACACCTGACCTGAACAAGGGGGACCTCTAGGACCCGACTGATGCCTGGGAGGAAAGCATGGGACTGATCCAGACTCCCTTAATGTGGGTGTCAGTGAGGAGGCCTAGGCAAACTATGGGGCCTTGGGTAGTATTTATTCCTGACATACAAATGGATTTGGCTGCCCATCCCACATAGAGGGATGCTCTCTCAGCCTGAACTCTTGGGGGGAGGGCCTAGGCCCTGCCCTGGATGAAATGACAGACTCTGGAGATCCTCCATGGAGGGCCTCACCCTCCCTGGGCATTGGAATGGGGGGCATTCGTGGGGGGCTGGGGGACCTAGTGGGGAGGGTAGGGGAGAAGGAGAAGGAGAGGGAGCTGGGATTGACATGTGAAGCAAGCTTGTTTCTAATTTAAATTTAAAAAGGTGGAAAAAAACAACCAAAAAATTTAGAAACAGGGTTAAAAAAAAAGTTTAGATAATTATTGACAGTGGTTTGTTGTCTCAGAATTGCCTCCTCCTTCTTATTCCATCAATCATACATACACATAAATATACATTGACTTTTACAATTGGGTTCCAAAAGGACTTTCTTGAATTTAATTGGGTAATTTTCATATGTATGTATGTGTGTGTCTTCAATGAACTTCTAATTTAAGAGTTAAGCAATTTTTTCTATGTAATTCCAAATTCAATTTTTCTAGTAAATACCTGAGAAGAACAAAAGAAAACCTATCATCTATTGCTATATATTTCTTACTTTTTTAATCATGAAAACAATACTAAAGCATTCTGTCGTGGTTTGGATGAAAAATGTCCCCCAATGCTTCATGTATTTGAACCACTGGTCACCAACTGGCAGCACTGGTTAAGAGGTTATGGAACCTTTAAGAGCTACAGCTCTGCTGAACAAGTATGTTACCATTGTCACCAGGAAAAAGATTTGAGGGTTTGGAGTCCTGCCCCACTTAATTGCTCATTCTCTCTTCTTCCTGTATGTGATCAGCCAGTTTCCTGCTCTGTTCACTTTCTGTCATGTCTCCGCCACCATTATGATAACTCTTGCTCTTACTCTAAAGCCAAAATAAACTCTTCTTCCTTTTGCCACAGTATTTATCACAGCAACAGAAAAATAACTAAAGCCTTATATGTCTAGAAATATATTTTAAATGAAGCATGGTACATCCATACGAGGAGATACTATAAAGCCATTAAAATCAATGACTATAAGACTAAAAGTATGTGTGGGTCTCAGAGACCCAAAGAACAATATCAAAAAGTCAAACTATGTATAATCAGAACCCAGAAGAGAAAGAAGAAGACAGAACATAAAAAATATGTAGACAAGTATTATATTCCTTGACACAGGTTTGAATTATATGTATTTGTCAATATTCAAAAAATATTTGAAACTCAGGAAATACACACAAAATTAAAATATTTTAAGAAAGTACATTGTACATAAGATTTATGTTAAAATAAAATTCTAAATAGTCACTAAATTTCAGTAATGATATGTATGAGTATTTAGAAGTATATTGATGGCTTCAATTCATTCTTAAATGTTTCACCCATTCTCTGCCAAAAAAGAGGGTTAATATTGAATAGAAGGATGGCGTTATATAAATTAATGATAAAAATACATAGTAAAATGCTAATTGGACAATTTAAGTTTTATACATAGAGGTATTACTGTTAAGTTCTTTCAATTCCTTTTCATACTTGAAATTTTTCTACTAAAATTTTGGGGGAAAAGGCCACTGACTGACAGTATTTTAATGGACTAATACAAATTATTTTTTTATTAAGAGCTTCGTGATGCTTTATTTTATCCTTACTAATTAACCTCTACAACATGAGCCAAATTTCAGACAAGGAATTTACTTTATTCATGTTGCTATTAGTCTGGAAGTATGCCTGAAGAGGAGAGAGGGGAGTAAGGGAGGCTGGAGGAGAAAAGCAGAGTGGGGAAAGAGGAGGAAAGAGATTGCCAGGAAACAGGAGAACAGGCAAATTGCTTGTTCTCTGTGTCTTATTATACCAAACTTTAGAAAATAGTAAGTAAACTATTTCTGTTTCATTCTTTACTGATTATTTTTTCTTTCTAGTTGCATAAAGTTCAGTATCCAGATTATTTTTTTCTTTCTAGTTGCATAAAGTTCAATATCCAGCATCCACACGGGGCAGCTCACAACCACTTGTAACTCCAGCTCCAGGAGATCCAATACTCTCTTCTGGCCTCCACAGGCATCAAAAAATGAGGCATACACCAATATAAACACATACACATATAAATATAAATACATCATTTTTAAGCCAAACTATATATAAATGTGCCATGCTATACTGTGATCAGTTTCTACAATGGTACATTTCAAAAATATTGTTCATTAAGCTGTTCTACAGAAAAGAACTCAAAATATAAATATTTGTATAGATTTGTGTGAAAAATATATAAAGCAAAATAACACCATTTACAGCATTTAAATGGTTCATGATGACTTTCAAATGATATTTTATTGTTTACCTTCCAGTTCATCCAGATGTGAGGGAATTCCTTGTGTCCTGGGCTGAATATAAGATAATTTAAACCTGGGCACCACAAATGGTACTTCTTTGCCATCACATGGTAATTTGGAAAGCAAATAATCCTCACTGCAGCCAACTTGGGACTTTACTGAAACAGAAGTCAATGGAGGTGTACAGATGGTATTTTCGTTATTTGAGACTGATGCTTTAAAGTCCCTTTCCACAGAAACTGCATTCAAAGGAAGAAAAAGATCAAAAGTAAGTCACAATTATGCATATAGACTATATGTAATAATCTACATCCATAATGGATAATACTTTTTAAATCAATTTTATTTTAATTTTCATTATATCTTGTTATTTGGTTTTGAGACAAGGTCTTACTACGTAACCCTAACTGACCTGGAACTTGCTATGTAGACCACACTTTCCTGGAATTCACAGAGATCTGCTGGCTTCTGCCACTTGAATGCTAGGGCTAAGAGTGTATGACTCCATGCCTGGCCTTTTTAAAATAATTTTAGAAAAAACATTCTAATACAAGATACTCTTGAGTTCTAACAAGCACTTCTGGAACTTAAATTAATCTCGGTGAACCAAGATTTAATAAATTAATATGCTATTGCCAAAGCACATTATCCTATTAGAATAGTAAAGCAGTTTTTAAGAGTCATTCCCATAAAAGCTCATTGATGGAAAGTAAGTTTATTTCAGAGTTTAATTAATAGTATCTTCAAATTAAAACCTAGTCATTTTAAAATGCTATAAACAAAGCAACTTTTGTTGTTAATTCTATGGATAAACCTGAGTCTCAAATACAAAAGTCAATTCTGAGAAGAAGCCAAAAGTCTTCAAGTCTACAAAACTCTCTAACAAATCACAAAATAAAATGTATAATGACTAAATATTTACCATAGTAGCAATTTCCCCTGCCTGAGCATCTATAGACCATTTTATCTATTCTCTAAAATAGTATACACACAGCTGTATAACCTAAGATAGGGTAGAAAAGGACAGTTGATCCTTACATATAATTGGTATTAACTATAGAATGAATAAAAGTACAACTATTATAGTGCAGGAATTTATTAAATGTTTTAATGTAAAACAGAAACTTTCTGCTATAAACTGGATATGGTTTAAGTGTATCGCCCATGGGTTGACATTTAATCCCTACTGTAAGGGTATTAACCCACAATCCACATTGTAAGGAAAGTAAAACTATCAATGGAAACTTAAACAAATCATGTGTTTAGATATGGGGGCTCTGGGATTAGTTTTCTTTGAGAAGATAGAGAATCCATGGTTGAATGCAGGTGGCTTTGTAAGAGGCACAGAGAGATCGCTAGATGTGTTCATTCCCTGCTTTTCTATCAAGTGATATTCTATACTGCCTCAGGATACTGGCAGCAAGAAAACCATCATCACCTTTGACCTTCAGAATTGTGACCCAAAATAAACTCCTTATCTAGTCTGTAATGGATACTGTGTTACTGGCATCAAATAATGGACTAATAGAACTTCATATCCAAATATATAATAAGAAGCTCCACCCTACAAGAAGTAAAGAACAAGAGAAAAGTAAAGTTATAATCTTAACCCAGAAGAGATAAGAGAACATACACTATAAAAGGAAATAGTTACTCTAGGAACTGTTCATGAATGTGGATCTTGATAAAGTTATGAGTTTCCTCTTCAGTGATTCTTATATGGGTTTTTAGTGCTGTGATAAAACAGCATGACCAAAATCAACTTAGTGAGGGAAGGGTTCATTTCAGTTTATAGCTTGTAGTCCATCATCCATGGAACTCAGGGAGAAACTAAAGCAGAAGCCATGGAGGATGCTGCTCACTGACTTGCTGAGCCTGACTTCTTATAGCACTCAGGACCACCAGCAACACCTACAGTGAACTGCCCCACACAAACATTAAAAATCAACCAAGAAAATGTACTACAGGCTTGTCTACAGGAAAATCTGGTGAAGGGAGTTTCTCAGTTGAGGTTCCCTCTTCCAAAATGGCTCTAACTTGTATCAAGTTAACATAAAATTAGCCAGCACAGTGATCATTCATTCACAAAATATTTTTAATGTAACTGAACTGTAGGAGTGAACCCCACAAGGCGGATAGCCCATGAGGGCGGGGGCAAGTAAATTAGCACAGGTAGATATAAAAGGAAGCGAAAGGAAAAGGAGTTCCCTTTTTGCCTTGGAAGCCAGCCACGCTTCTAACTCCTAGCTTGTGTGACTCTCTCTGGTAAATAAATATATTGTATCTCCTATAACATTGGCTATCATCAATATTGAACATTAAGTGGAAGTTGTCTTTATTTGCATCAAAACATTTATCAGAGTTTGTTTCCCTAGCACACTTCTCTCCTTACCTTGACTATTTCGTTCTATTCATCTGCCTTTATCCAACTCTCAGATTTTTTTCCAAGACATGGTTTCTCTGTGGCTTTGGAGGCTGTCCTGAAACTCACCCTGTAGACCAGGCTGACCTTGAACTCACAGAGGTCTGCCTGCCTCTGCCTCCCAAGTGCTGGGATTAAAGGAGTGCGCCATCAATGCCAGGCTCAACTCTCAAGATTTTTGTACTGCGTTCTTTCCACCAGCTTGCCAAATCCTATTCAGGCTCCCACAGCAAATGCTACCTTCTTTATGGTGATGTCCAGGGTTGTCTCATGGTTTGAATTAATCTCTCCACTATACCTCAAGGTCCCTGGGAGTTCTGAAGTAACAACCTAGTATGCCTTCCCTTTTGGCCTTCCCATCAAAGTCAGAAAACATTCCTAATTTACTCATTTATTATTAAATGCCACAGAGAAGGCACTAAGTAAGTGTTTACCAAAATCAAAATAATACTCACACTTGTGCTTTTCTGTTTCACCATAGAAACATCCTCTACAGCAACTCTTTAAAAATTCCGCTGCCATTACATTCAATTTCTAACAACCAGAAAACTTCCAATATCAACCTGTTGATAAAAGAGAATGCATAAAGTTTCATTGTTAATGTCACTGACTATCAATAAACAAGTCATACTATCTTTGTGTTTCTAACGCATAATGAGGGCTCTCTGAAGAAATATTTTCTGAAGAAAAAATATTTAAGAGGAAAATAAATTTTTACTCTTCTATATGATTTCATACAACCTAGGATCTTTATGACTTATCAAACAGCATACTCAAAATTACTAAATGAACAATTTCAATGTTACCATTTGAGACAGAAAAATGCCCTTTTCAATATTCTCATACATCTGATACATCTAGGCTTATGTCCAAGCAAAACTTGAAAGTATGACTGACATAAAAAGTATGACAAAAAATTTCACTTTCACAATTAGTTTTATAATCTAAATCTTTTTGTAATTGCAGCCTAATAGTCAGATCACTATAAACATTATAAGTTATCTTAACTCTTAGAATTAAACTAACAGAAAAATAAATCTTAAATATTGTATAATTCACACACACAGGTAGGAGGGAGGGCAAGCACATAACTAAGAAATACTGCAAATGGATTTTGTATTATATTTACCAGGATCATGGTGCATGAGAATGTTTTGTCTAATTTTCTACCCTGATTATCAATGTGCTTGTTCCAAAGAAACTCTTCATTTACACCTACTTAAATTCTATACATTTTTGTGGGAAATTTAAACACAAAGAGAACCTACAATAACAAAATCACAAAAACTAAACAGTTTTCAACTCATGGCAAATATTATTTCATCTCTACCCCCCTCTTTTGGCATACTTTGGAATAAATTCCTATGATATAATTTGATCTAAAATTCTTGAACAGTAATCACTAAAAGATGTAACAGAGGCCTCAAAAGTTTACTTTGAGAGGCTCTCATTAGGTAAAGTATTAAAACAAACCATCTGAAATGGATTATAACATTTCTAAAAGGTACTTATTTTCTTTTTAGGTTTTTCCAAGACAGGGTTTGTCTGTGTAACAGTCCTCACTTTGTAGACCAGGCTGGCCTTGAACTCACTGAAATCTGCCTGCCTCTGTCTCCCAAGTGCGGGAATTAAAGGCATGCACCACCACGGCCGGCTTTAAAAGGTGCATTTTAAAAAATAATCGTAACAGCATTATCAAATACAAAAATTTAATATCAGCAATATGAAAAGAATGTAATTTGTATCTAGTTTCACCTATGGTTTCTATTTTTAAGAGTTGTTTTGTTGAATTCAAGATATTTAGATTATTGTACCATTTGCTATTAGAAATAGTACCACTAGTTATGTGTACATATAGTACTCAGATATTTCTTAGTATATACCTAAGATATAGGACTACTGGGCCAAAAAGTACATATGTGCAATGCTGCTTGTAGTTCTAAAATTTCTCTGAATCACTACCATATCTCATATAAAAGTACATAAAATCACATTTGTTGCCAACAAAGTGTTACTCAAATGCTGCAGTTTGTGTGATAGAAATAAATGATTGGACTTTATTGTTTTAGGTTGCTTCTCCATAAATTAAAAATGTTAGGAAGGACTAGAGAGATAATGTCTCCACGGTTAAGAACATTGACTGCTCTTTCAGAGACCTGGCATTCAATTCTCAACACCCACATGGCAGTCAACAACAGTTCATAACTCCAACACCCTCTTCTGGCTTTTGCTGGCAATTCACCCATGTGGTACACATACATCCATGTAGGCAAAACTCTGGTTTACATAAAATAAAAATAATTAAATCCTTAAAATAATGTTGGGCCGGTCGGTCGTAGTGCACACCTTTAATCCCAGCACTCAGGAGGCAGAGGCAGGAGGATCTCTGTGAGTTTGAGACCAGCCTGGTCTACAAGAGCTAGTTCCAGGACAGCCTCCAAAGCCACAGAGAAACTCTATCTCAAAAAACAAACAAAAACAAATATATATATGCATATATATATACACACACACATGATGTTGAACACCATTTAATATATAAGGTATTATAGTTATCCCTATGAATTATCTGTGTTCATAAACTCTTGTTTATCTAGTTTACAAGTTTTTTTATATATTTCAGAGATTAATCCATCTCCATCATGTAAGAAATGTTTTTTTTTGAAACCAGAACATTTTATGTTTATGACTGATTGAAATCCTCAAGATGAACTGGATGCTGCAACAGCTGCCCTCTTGGGTTTAGGTGTTGTCCCTTCACGGAATCCATGTCTGAATCTTCAATAGACAATTTTTAGGTGCCTCGCCGCCCAGTCCGGGTAGTTTCTTGCCTTTTAGCCTTGGCACTCCAATTATATGTGGCAGGGTAGCCACATTTGCCACAGCGCGGCACGTGTGTCTTATTCAGACGCTTTCCAAAGGATGGAGTTCCTTTCGTCATCTTGCTTCTGTCACTGAGGCCAAAGAGCGAGAAATGGTCTTTTAACCTGTCACTTGCTTCTTGCTTTGATTACTGTTAAGCAAAAGTGTTTCTATAAACTTGGGATGTAGCTCAGTGGCAGAGGACTTTCCTAGCATGTGAAAAGCTAGATGTGATCACTACCACCAAACTGCATATATATATATATATATATATATATATATATATATATATAAATACTGTATACATATATACAGATTGAGTATTTGTTGTCTAAAATGCTTGAGATCAGAAGTATTTAAGATTTTGGATTTTGTAATATTTACATATACACAATGAGATACCTAGGGAAGAAACCAGATCTAAGTATGAAATTTATTGTTTTCATATATACTTTATATATCCAAAAATAATTTTGTCTATGAAACAAAATTTTATGAAGTGAAATTTTCTACTTGTAGCATCATATTAGCACTGAAGTTTCAGATTCTGAAACACTTTGAATATATAAACATATGAACATATATATGTATGTATGTATGTATATATATCTACATATGTAATTACATCTATGATTTTCATTTTTGCATCTAGAATAAGTCATAGTAAAGTTCCTCCACATCTAGGTCATAAACAATTTATCCATCTTTGCAAGTTTTTTGTTTATTAAAACAGAGTTTCTCTGTGTAGCCCTGGCTATCTTGAAATTCACTCTGTAGATCAGGCTGGCCTCAAACTCACTGAGATCCCCTTGCCTCTGCCTCCCAAGTGCTGGGAATGAAGGCGTGTGCCACTGCCACCTGGTTTATTCAAGTTATTTTAATTAGTATGTTATTTTTTTATATAGTCATCCTGGTGCACGGTATGAGAAATGTTTCCAAACCTATCTTACCACAGTACCACAAACACCACATAGACAAAATTCCATGTGCTCACTTCAGCAGCACATATATTAAAACTAGAGTGATGTGGAGATTAGCATGGTCCTTATGTAGAAATAACATGTATATTGGTGAAGCATTCCATATTTTACCTCTACACTTGGAACTCACACACATCCATGCACATACTTGCAAAATAATAAATAAATGAATACATGAGATACAATTTTTTGAAAATTCTTATTTTTCTCCACCACTGTTAGATGTTCCTGTATTTAAAAATATTAAATTTCCAAGTGTAATTGGGTGTGTTTCTGTATTTTCTATTCTCTTCCATTGGTCAATGTATTCCTCCATCAACACCATGTGGTTTTAGTTTTAAGGATTAAAATGTACAACAGGGCTAGCCATATTTACTACTTTTCACTTTCAGCTTTTTCTTAGCTACTCATGCTTTTCTGATCTTACCAATTAACTCTCTGTGACCAAGAGAAAAAAATCTGATGATACTTGCATTGGGAACATAGTAGACTTCTATTTTATAAAAACTGACATTTTTAAGGATATGTATTTGTAATTGCTTACTTGGCTATTTTAAATACATATTTTGACAACTAACCAAATCCAAATGGGCATAGAATTTGGTATTTCTCCAAGATAAAAAGTAGTCAATAAACATGAAAAGGGGATAAACTTCAATAAGGGAAATACAAATAAAATTACAATGAAATGTCACTTTACAAACAGTAATTGAAAACACACAAAAAATACATGAAGAAAAATTGGAACCATCACACATTGCTGGTAAAAATGTAAAATGGTGTTGATGCAATATTAAAAATACCATGGTATTCCACAAAAATGTTTATAAAGGTTACCATATGACCCAGGAATTCCATTTCGCATTTAATACCTATGAAAATGAAAACCATATTTTCATGCAAATAAAAAAGCTAGAAAATAAATGTTCATAGTGGCCTTACTCAGAAGAGCAAAGAAATAGAAACAGTCAGCCATCCATCAGTAAAAAGATAAAATGTGACATCTATGTGTCTATACAATGGGTATTATTTAACAACATCAAAATGTGTGAATTACCAATTCATGCTATATCATGGATAAATCTTGGAAATGACATGCTCACTAAAAGACATGAAAAGCACATTCTATTATTCTATCCGTAAGCAAATCCAGAAGACACAAGATAAATTAGTGTTGTCAGAAGCTGAAGAAGAGGAAAATAGCAAGTTACTTTAATACAAACGGATACAAGGTTCCTTTTTGGATGGCAGTTTTCAACCTGTGGGTCACATATCATATCCTACATATCAGATATATATATTATTATTTATAACAGTATGAAGTAGCAAAGAAAATAATTTTGTTTTGGGGGGTCATCACAACATGAGGAACTGTATTAAAGGGTCACAGCATCAGGAAGGTTGAGAGTTGCTGTTTTAGGGAGAACAACAAGATTATTCCTGAATGATGAGGTGATATCTTGTTTGTACAAATAAAACAGGCCTGAAGCTCAAGAGGGTGGAGCTTGCCACTAGCTAACCATAGAGGTCTGGAGGTCTGTACAGACAGACAGGAAGTGAGATGGTTGGGCAGAGAAAGGAATATAGGTGGCAGGAAACAGAAACTAGGTCTCTTTTCTGCTGGGAAGCTAGGGAGGTAAAGGTGGCTTTGGCTTGCTCCTTCTCTCTGATCTCTCAGCATTTTCCCCAGTATCTCACTCTGGGCTTTTATTATTAAGAGC